CACACACACACACACACACACACACACACACACACACACACACACACCTGTGCTCTTTGCAATATTCTCCAGCAGCAACGGGTATTTGGTCAGTCTCTGCATCTCTATGGGAATGATGTCCTTGAGCTGCAGCCTGCGGCATTGGGGCTTACTCTCTGCCTCCTGGGATTAAAACGATTGAGTCAGAATGAATATATGGGACCAGTTACGTGACCTATTGAATTAACAATGTATCTGTGGGTGCATCAACATGTGTCTTTCCGTTAAATCTTTAAGATTCAGTTTGTCTGTGTGTGTGCACGTGTGTGTGTGTGGGGTATGTGTGTATACCAGTATGAAGGAGTTGAAGCGTGGCTCTTTCTTCTGCCTGCTCTTGATCTGGTCCAAGGCCCAAGACTGGTGACTGCAGAACCGGGCCGTCAATTTCTGGAACCACTCCCCCTCTGTACCTCCAAACTGGAACACAGATAATGAATGACACAGTGTCTTGATAACCAGAAGTAAAGAATGAGAGGAATAAAGAGATGGGTAGATGGAGAAAGAGATGGGAAGAGGCACAGAGTAAAGCCTGGCAACTAATATAACTGTGCAGCAGTTAGAGCTAAATATTTCACTTTCATAGATAAAAAGAGTACAGCATTTGTTAAACCAACAAAATCCTATTTATCAGAGCTACTGCCAAGTTATGTTGAAATGAATTGTCAGCACATATCCGTTGGGAGTTTTCCCCAAAGCAACACACATACTGAGAGAAAGTAGAGACAGAATAATACAAAGAGAAATTTTATGATGACTCACTCGGTTGAGCACTGTGATGCTGATAGATTTGACTATGAAGTTGTCATCGAAACGCAGCTTCTTCAGGTTCTCGTAGAAGTTATCTGCATTCAAAGCCAGAGCCAAACAAATAAATAATGCACTTTCAAAATACTATGCTCAACTCTCCTTCACAAAACAGTCAATAAACATTGTTTTTTGTGAGTGATGAAATAGATTTTGATTTCTAAATTATTCTCGACTGTGGACCCAGTTTCATCCTGTTAAAGTAGACGGATTTTACATGCAGTTACCTTTACCACTGGCAACAAATACACACAACAAGCAGCTTCACACTCGGAATACAAATTGAGATTCACTGCATAATGGCTTGCTTGTTGTGTGGAAGGAGAGCACTAGCTTCAAAGTTCCTGCGTCTGACTCTGGGAGGATACAAAGACTCACAGTGCATTTCAATGATCTCATCCAGGTTGGGAAAGATGGTGGACAACTCAGTGGAGGTCAGGAGCTCTTCTCTCTCCAAAGGCTTGGAGAAGATCATCTGAAGGACACTGAGCATCCGCACATGGGCATGCTCAGTTGCAAACAATTCTAAGAGGAAAGAGGGAGTAGACATGGAATGAGTAAATGATAGTAAAAACATTTTCAAAAAGGGCTCCCCAACACTGCAACCTTCTTTTATCTGCTCATCTGTTGCTTCATCTCTCATCTCCTCACCGTTGATGACCTCCTGCCTCTTGGTCTCCTTCTTGCTGAGACTGGACAGGCCTTCAGGGGGTGCCAGCTTCCTCCAGTTGGGTGGGTCCGACTCAAACTCCAGGAGGCGTGGCTCCATCTCCTCCAAATGTGGAGAGGGGCTGGTTGGGGAGTGGCCGGGCCCCTCAGGAAGTAAAATTGGTCCATCAAAGCTGAGAAAGGAAAGAAGTAGGATAATCATTAAGTTAGACCTGTAACTACTAAACAACGTGATTCAAGTATGACCCAGGTGGCCATCAAGTGATGCCACGCACACTCTAGTGGCACTAGTGGAGGTCGTTGGCTGAGGAACAACAGCAGCTGGTTGCATTTCTAAATGCACACCAGGGATGTCTGTCAGGATATTAAGTATCTGGCAGATAAGCTATCTATCATTGTCCTGTTGTGATTCCTGTTGTATGGTGAGATTATAATGCAAAATCAGCCAACTGACTAGCTATTAATATCTTACACTGAAAAATGACAGGTGAACTGAAGCTTATGTGCTTCAGAGTAAAACTATGATTTAAACGGGAAGTTACAAAAGCCATGCTGGTTTTCTGTTGCACAGTTACAATCACATGATGCACTTATTATTATTATTATGTAACTGTAAATAATGAACTTAAATCCACACTAAAATTGTAAGTGTTTATTTTTGCTCCTTCTTCTAGCCTTGTTAATAAACAATTCTCAGGCTTTATGTGCACAAAGTCACACTCCACTGGATCTCCATGATAGCAGCAGCTAAGCAATCCTTACAATAAGTCATTGTAAGGATTGCTCAAGGAAAACTACAGAGAAATCTATTGAATTTGAATAAACTTGACCTCTTGTTGGCTTACTCGGCATCATTCATCGTTTCAAGACGTTCCCTCCGAGTCCTGACAAAGTACAACTGACCGTGTTGTGGATTTACAGTCGATTAACAGCAAGTCAACTCACCCCTAATAAATGGCCTGCACCTAACACTTACCCAATGGTCAACATTGACATAACTCAATAATCATTCCCTGAAAGAGCTAAATGTCTGACCTTTCACTGAGAATGAGAGCGCTGCTCGACTGTTACTCACACAGCGCGGGTCAACAGATCCGTCTGACAGTGAATAATGAGTCAGTAAACCTGTCAGTCAATTGATTCATTTAGGCGAAGGACATGTGCCCTTTAAAAATAATTAAGTTTAAATATCCTTTCAAGGTGATCTACCTAATAGCTCGGACGGAGCCAAGTAGGTTTGATCCATCAATATTCTCATTATTACCCAATTATTTAGTTGAACTGCTTTGTGATTATTGCACTCATCCTGTTTAATCTGTCAGTGTTTGACAGCCTGTCTGTCTCTGCTGTGCACCTCTCCAACCAGAGAGGCATTAAGAGGGGGTTTGTCCATCTTACGGATGGAAGTGGTGGGGGGTGAGCGGTGCAGGTGTTGTTGTCATGGCAGAAGGCGGCTGGAGGTCCACATCACTACGGGAGCGAGACTGTTTGGCCCGGGAAGAGCCGCGGCGCCGAGAGGGGTGCCGGTCCACGCGGGCACTCTCACTACGCGCCACTTTCCTACTGTAGGGAGGGAAGGTCGGAGAGGATGAGGGAGGGATGAGGAAAAGATAGGGACGGAATAGAGGGAAGGATGAATTGGAATAGAAAAAAGAAGGCGGGAACAAATGACAGAGAGGACAGACGGAGAAGAAAAAAAGGAAAAGAGGCCACAGAAAGGACAAGGAGAAAACAAGAACAAAAGGATGGAAGGAGGAAACAAAGAGATGCCACAGAATGGACAGAGGAGATACCAAACAGCAATGAAAAGAACACAAAAAGGGAAACACAGCAGAGGAGAAAGTAATGTGCAGTCAGTGTGCACAGACATTTGTGTTAATTATGAGGGTAAAGAGGAGGATTCATGATTTAAAAGGTACAGCAGTAGATGATTTACACAAAAAAGAGAGTGATTCAAAAAGGGAGAAATAAATGACATCAACAAGATAGAGAAAGAGAGAAAATGAGTGACAAGTGAATATGCATGACATATGACATGCATATACTGGATGGACAAGAAAATATAGAGCATGCTTCATATACTGTAGACATAGTAGGACTTGAATACCAACACGTTCTACATTTCCTTATGAGTTACTGGGAGCCAATGAACAACAGTATGTTAATGACGTACCCATGCATTGCTTCTACATCATGTCTGTACCAGGAGTTTTCAGTTAGGCAACTTTACTGGTCATTTATTTCAACAGTTCTCCAAATCCACACAACGTACATTCACATCAACTCTAAATAATCCAACTGATCTCAACAATTAAGCTTATTCCAATTCCTTCGCACGCAGGTCCATGATACTTAGCCATGTGGTGTGTTTGTGTATCAGGACTGCAGGCCTCAATGTGAGGTGTGTATGCATGCAAGTGTTGTTTGTTCAATCTGTACGTGTGTGTGTGTGTGTGTGCGGTCAGTAAAAGGGCTGAAGCATGTCCATGACTCTGTCAAGGCGCTGACACCCACCTTGTCTTCCGTCTGTAAAAACACGGACACCAAATTGTTACACACCCGCCTTTATACAACTATTAGCCACAGTAGCAACCGTAACATGCAAACGCACACCCCAACATGATGTCCTAAACTAGTTACCGCTGTCGGAGTAGCATGCCAAATAAGATGCTAAAGCCCCCTGGCACAACATGTAACCGCACACACTGTGGAGACAAGCAAGACAAAGGACGGGCCCTGGCCACAATAGATGCAGACACCTTGAAAAGCACATGGGGCGAGCAACAAATACTATATCATAAAACTTATTGTCCACTTTTGACTATTAACTAAATACCAGCAGTGTTAAGATGAACTACTTTGTGTAAAACGTTGGTGTAGACTAAGGAGCCAGTCTTCACATTTCTTTTTAAGCTTTAGACAAACTTTAGACAAAATAACACCATTTCTATAGGTTAGCTAAAAGGTCAAACCTGTTTACTGGGTAGAAAGTTGCAGCATAGAAATCTATAATAAGTGCCACGTAACCGTAACAATTACAAATGTCTCAGTCAAGAAGAAATCTCCAGTGTATTAACTGACAAGTACCCGAATCTTATGAAAACAGGAGTCAGAACTGCACAAACAATGCCTATATGCAACAAAACAGCAATGAAGCTCTGTCGTAAACATTAGGAGTTGCACAACAGGATGCACACAGAAGAACACAAAAGGGACAGAATGATATTAGGAAGAACGCACACATGCCATTGTGAGAAAAAAACAGGAGAGAGGGTATGAGGGAGAGGGAAGGCAAAGGGCTGGAAGGGAGGATTGGGTCCGAGTTCACCTGGTGAGGGTCCTTCTCAAATCTGAAGGCTCTGTTAGCTAGCGAGCAACAGGCAGCATGACAAAAGCTTGCACACGACAGGGACAGACTGCTGGGGGAGTTTTACCACGCTCCCTCAGCCGGAGCACTTCAGACATGTGTGGCCTCCCCCTTCCCCCCTGGTCATCAGATACATACAGTCTGTACACCTCCCATACAGCCTAATAACAATCTGATTACGTTCTCTAATCCTGTCTTTTCTTATACTCGCTTATTGAGTCACTACACTGCAGTTATAATCCCCCCGATGCTACTGATTTTTTTTTTACAACATCTCAGTTTTCCTCACCTATCTTTCTCCACATTTTCCTCTGTGGGAGTGTCCATGGGTGAGAAGGGCTCCCCGACGGTCAGCCCTCCACCCAGGCTGACGGGGGACACATCACCCCCGTCTGACAGGGTCGGTGGCTCTAAGCGATTGCTTGAGAGGCCTGGAAGATTAGAAGGTAAGAGGAAAAACAACGAGGGTTTATGAGTAGCAATTCTTCTCCTGTCAAAAGGTAATTAATTGGTGCTTTTATCAAGTAAATTAACAAATGTATAACTCATCAAAATGATGTATTATTATATAGTATAAGATATCTATTTTACACAAGAAAACAAATTCTCCTTTTTCAAATGCTGACACCAAACAATCGCGAAATAGTTATATGTATACATGTTTATACAAGTTAAGCTAAGATGGTGAGCATGGTGAACATTAAACCTGCAAGAAACAACAACATGTTAGCATTCTCATTGTGAGCACGGTAGCATGCTGATGTTAGCATTTAGCTCAAAGCACCATTGTGCCTATACACAGCCTCACAGAGTCGTTTGGGGGGCTGCAGGCCTGTTTTATTCATCAAATTATCAACTGGTTATAAAGTCAAGATTTACTCCAGACTCCATACAACACGTTCTAGTTGATGAGCCGGCTTACTATCGGGGTGTGAAGACTCTGGGCTGTTGGTGGTGCCGATGTTGTTGCCTGAGCCATCGGTGACCTCTAACCCAGGCACGGAGGTGGAGCTTCCGCCGGAACAAGACTTTCTGCTGTTGAGGAAAGGGGCTGCAGGTTCGGTCATGGAGCCTCTGCCGGGAGCTGGACCCTTCCGCTCCGGAATGACTTTCTCTTTTTCCGCTGAAGATGGGGAGGAGAGCGACAAGTTTAACGGAGCTGAACTTTAGACAAAGCAGATGCAGAAAAAACAAGACCCAAAACCAGTGAAAAGGGGACTTTGTGAGACAGACAAACACACAGGATGAGTATGGTGCAATCAGGGACTCTGTAGTAAATGAGAGGGTTAATTTGGTGCAAGAGAACACCCACAACTCTGCAGATGAGATAAGGGTGAGGTTTTCTGGTGATTACAAAATATACAGTACAACCAATTCTTCCAACAACCACCCTGAAACATGAATCAGCTACACAATGCCCCACCCACATCCCCTCCCAGTTTGATTTGGGACATGCAGACATGTTTATGGGTTGATTAGTAGGGATGTGACCATTCTACAGATAAAAGAGGGGTTTTGGAACTCTGGACGTCTAGTACCTTCAGCCTCCGTTTTAGGTTTGACGTCAGCTGTAACAGGAAAGAAGGGCAGGACAACATGTTCTCATATCCAGACCAATCACAGACATCAATATTTAAAGATACTACATGTATTTCTTTTGAATGTCACTATAAAATGTATGCAATGTGTCTACTTATAGATTGTACATACTCTCAAATATCATTCACAGACAGAAATAAAATACTTGATACAAAAAAAATAACATAATAGGACTCGCAAAAAGCAGATACATACTGTTGCCTGCAATCCAGCTCGGGATGCCAGGAAACCCCCCTCTGGGCTTGGTCTTTGTGGATTCTTCCTTCTTATTCTGGAAAGACAACACAGGTAGGGAGCAAGAAAGAAGTCAAATCTGAGGGCTACAGAAACATAAATTAATCCCCACAATGGTTTTAAGAAGACAATGCAGTACATTTATTTGCCTGTCTTATTGCAGATGGATAACATCCCTGTCTACTTAGGGAAACCAAATAAAATAAATCAGCAGAGTTGATGGTAGCTTACCTTTACCAGCTGTCTCCTGAAGAAGCCTCCTCTGGACTTCTTACTGTCAACTGCCCTGGTTTTAACCCCAAGGTGCTTCATGAAGAAGGCCACCGCTGAGAAGATGGATTGACTAGGGGAGAAGTTAGAGAAAGGTAATTATTAGTAATATCTAATATGTTTTGTATTTTTTGTTAATACTTGTTTGTAAATGTTCTATTTTTCTAATTTGAATATGATTTGAATGTTTTAAAATCATGATATTGTTTTACATGCATCTGTATATCTCACATTAAAGGCTGTAATAAAGGACATTTGCATAGTCTCAGGACAGTGCACATGAGGGAAGAGCGGGAGGATGAAAATGGGGATGGGCAGATGCAGGGAGGTGGAGAGTTGAGGATGTCAAGAGGGAGGAGGAGGAGGAGTTGAAAAGAACGGAGAGGAGAGAAAATCTGACAAAAGGAGGGGTTGAAAGAAATGTGAGGAGTTGATAGAAAAAAAGAATCTGTCTGAATGCTGTCTGAATGCACTGACAATAAACTTTAATCACAATGGACCGGAAAAGTTACAAAAAACTAAGAAGTGCATGACAGGGTTTAGTAATTTAATGTGAGTGAAACACATTAATTAGGAAGTAGAAACGCATCAGGGTCTTTTTAGAAGATATTGTTATGGAGAGACAATTTTTGAAACAAAATACAAACATATTTAAGTGCAGAAAGGACATTTTGAACAGAAAACATATAGGGTGCACTTGAGCCAGTATGCAAACATCTTTTGGTTTGACCACACCCAGGCTTGGAAAAAGCATTCAGATATCAAATCAGCTCCATGTGCAAATACACACAACACTCGTGCAAATATTACTTAACTTTAAAAAAAAAAAAAGAAAAAAAAAAAAAAAAAAACTCACCATTTTTCCTCGTCTGAGACAATTGAAGGTCTGAAAGAAAATAGATATATGTGATGTCATGATTGTAAAGGGACAAAAGCAAAAACAGACTCCCTCAACTTGCAGCATCAAGCTCACCTCTTCCTTTTAAGTAGCATTTTTCCTTTCTCTTGCTCGACTGATTACCGAGTGTGTTTTGGGCCGGTGGAAGCGACTAAGCTTTTCCTGATCCAACGCAAAGCTGATTGTTGTGTTATTTTGTTCGGAGCAGAAGCTATTGAACATATTCTAAAATGTGCGCAAAAAAAGGGGGGGAAAAACTAAACTAAAAAAAAATCAAAAAAGGAAAACATGCATCAAAAGCTGCACCTCTGTCTGCTCTAACAATTAAAAAAATCAACCTGCACCTCTTGAAGTTCTGCAAATAATTCTATTGTCTCCTGACTGTCTAACCCTAACCCTATTCTGGTTTGTCTCTCTCCGGTCAGCTGTCTGCAAAGTGAATCCAACCTCAGAAATGATCCAGCACAGCGGAAATGTCTATTTAACCCGTTTTTTTTGTCTGATGCAACACGCAGGCAAGACTTAAGGAATTGGATACTCATGATCTGTTATGAACATAAAGAGTGGGAGGGCTTTCCTAGGGATTTCCCTGCATAATCCAATCAAATGCTCTGGCTGCCTCATTCTCATCCCCAGAAAGACCAATACAAAAACAGCTGGGGCGAGGTCACTTTGTTGTGGTCCAATGAGGGGGAATTGAATTGGGGTCGGCGGGTGCAAGAGTGTGGGAGAAGTGTGAGGGTAATAGAGAGATGATTGTCGGAGAGGAATGAATAGAGTGAAACTGAATGAATCGTTTGTGCAATGGAGACAGAGATCCAACTGTGTGATAGTAACTGAGTGAGTCAAAAGCTGAATTATCACGTCTTTGATACACTTTCTGACAGACTTTCTGTGTCTTCTCCACTGACAGTGTGGTTATTTCCACAGGACGAGTGAAGCTCATGCACAGTGCATCTTCCTTCGCTTATGTTGTTCTTTTTTCTCTCTGTTCTGACAAGATGAAGTTAGACAGTATTCTGCCCTCTCGCTGGCCTCCTCTCCCTCTCCGTCTGACTCGCTTCTTGTAGAGGATAACACATTGTAGTTGGCCACGGGGTCAAGGATAGATTAACTTTCCCCCAGAACTCTTGCTTTCTTTCTTCATCCGTGTCCAGGTTCAGGAGCTATCCAGCATCGACAACCCTCTGGCCTTTTGTCTCCCCTTCCTTCTTCCGCTGTGTAACCCCCCCCACCACCACCGCCCCTCCCTCCAGTTGGCGAAACGCCATGGGAGAGCCTTCCTGCCAGCGTGGCACTGCTGACTCCATCTTTTCCTCTTCATTTCCTTCTTGCTCTATTGTGCTCTCTTCCAATCACTGGTCCCTCTTGCTTGATTTTCTCTCCTGCTGGATTTGTCCGTGTGAGTGGCACTAGATTGGTTATGTATACGGCTAATATACTGTACAATACAACGTGTAGTGCCAACTTCAGAGGGACCACGTCCAAAAAGGCTGCTTTCCACCTTTTTGACAGACCAATCATCCCCTCAGCTGAATGGGTTGAGCAGCAGGGAAAAGAGAGGACACTGTCATAATACTATTTGAAAGTTTTTTTGTGTATTAGTATCTTCGTGACAATGCGAGATGTTGTTTTCTTGTTTGTGAGAATTGCATTTAGTTTTCTTATCAGTCATTGTTCTAATTTCCCAGATTTCCACGGTTCTTTATATGCGGTGGAAACGCAAACACTAATGCACAAAAGGGATGTTTAGTTCCTGAGTTTTGCTCATGGTTTTGGTTCCATAGTATCAGGAACTTTTGGGCCAAAAAAGGCTAGTTGTTGCTCTTCAATCTTGAGGGAGTCTCCTGGATAATATGACAATACTGTAGGCTTAAGTAATGCATATGTATTTTCAACTTACGTTCTAAGAAATCATGATTTTCTCTCAGTTTGGTGTGGGAAATTGCAGTAAATACTGTGATACCACATGAGAGGCCAGTTGGAGGTGCAAATCAAATTCAAAACATTACATCATTGCAAGTGAGAACAGAAACATTGACCCAGAATCCCAGGATATTGTCCTGGTGATTCAACTAGGTGAGTTTATCCAAAAAATAACTCCTTCCTCATTGCAATCCAGGGGTGTAAGAAGCAGTGGACGAGAGAAACTCACTGGGTCTCAGACATCCTGTCCAACAGGTTCTCAGCTACAGACTTCTCCTTCATCTCCATCGGGATGCGGTCGGTGGGATAGTGGTTCTCCACATCAATGAGCTCAGCCTCGTTGGGTGTCATACCCATCATCCTCTTCTGCCTGTGGATGAGACAGCAAAAGGAGGCAAGAGTTTGAACAAGATTCATATTGAAAACAAAGGTTTAGCACACTGTACTGATGAACGTTTTCCTAATTCTGTGAGCAGATACATAATGTAGATGAATTGGGCTGATCAGTGCATTATCATGCCTGAAATATGGATTTTCATCAACAGTTCCAAGAGAAAAGAGACCTTAATTCATAAAAGACTCTAATTCTCATTATCCTCTCCATGATTTCCATATTTGCATATTCTGAATGCATATTCCAAATGCAATGCTATTTGGCAACTTAGGTTAAATACTAACCTAAGCATAAACTTTGGGCTGGGCAATAACTCAATATGATAATTAATCGTCTTTCAATGGAATCAAATCATGATGAAATCATATATTGAGACATTGTGATGCACAATTACGTTGTCTAAATAACAAGAACCTATTAGTTCAACTCTCTCCGAAAACTTGAAGTGATACTTTTGCTTATATTTCTGTAATTTCACTTAAAACCTTTTGAATTTGGTACTAAAATTTTTAATCAAGTGAGAAAATATAGTACTTTTCTATTTGTCATGTTCACACAGGAGTAAAGACAAATAAGCTTTACCACGTGTTTCTTTCACATAGACTATTCATTTGGTGAATTACCAGACAATGTGCTGTATCGTGTGAGAGATATAGATATAGATATATATATATAGATATATCTATATATATCTATAGATATAGATATATAGATATATAGATATATAGATATATATATATATATAGATATAGATATAGATATAGATATATATATATATATATATATATATAGGGATATGAAATGACTTATAATCGAGATAGAAGATTTTTTTTGATATATTGCTCAGCTCTACATAAGCATCACAGGGACAAAATGCAATTAAAAAAAGAAATTGAGAAAGAGAGCGATCAAGATGACCTTTTCTTCTGTTCATGCTCCTGCTATTCACAATAAAAGCCTTCCAGCAAATACAATGTATACACGGCTTTAGTTGGGAGTGAAGTAGTCAATTCAAGTCTTGAGTAGAAGTCTCTGGTGGAAGCTTGTTAAACGTTGCCTTTCATTTTAAGATTATAGGAAAATAATGGTCATGCGTCAAATATGAACAGAAAAATAGCTTCCTCTGAGACAAGTTACTCAATTAAGCAAGTTTCAAATCTGTGGAAGTTTATTTTCATTTTAAATAGTATAACTTGAAGCCGAATGCTGCCTTGAAGGTAAGAAATCAATGTGACAAAACACGATAAATTCAACACCTATTCTCTTTATGTTTGAGATACAGTACATACAGCAGAGACCTTCCTGAGTGACATCACAGTATACGCATGTTGTGATCAAATCTAAGAGCATAAAATCCACAAGTATTAACAAGGTATTGCGGATTTAGAAAAGAAAGAGTTGGGACATAGCTAAGACTCGATCTGACTTGATGAGTATTGTTAAGAATGGGGATTCTCACTTGAAATCTTCAAGCTGTTTGGCCACTTCAGCAGCCTGCAAGCTCTGAACCTCCTGAGCGTAACGCCTTTGGGTGTCCTCGTGAAGCAGGTCTGTACGTGTTCGGTCTGAGGGACGGGGCACAAGAGAAGTGAGTGAACGAGAAGCGGTGATACAGAGAGGAAGACACAGAGTGGGGGGGCTGAGGTGTGTTTGTATGTGGCAAAGAATACATAATGACTTTTGATAAACACACCACAGGTAAAATAACTCACCCAATTCATAGGCTACATGAGAAGGAAGTGCCACTCTGAGAATCTATATCGTGGAGGGAAAGAAACAATAGGTACAGAGACAGAAAAAGGAATATTATATTAGTTTTTATCATATAGTATATAAGATACAAAGTTGCTTTAATCCAGATTCAGTTTATTACACGTAACTAAAACTAATGCAGTCTAATACAACAGTCATGCAATGAATCCTACCTTCACGAAGGTTGATTTAACTGTGTGGTCATTTTGGAGGCTGTAGTTTACTGACAGCTGTTTCTATTATTTCGTCTGCCCCATTCAAATCAATGAGGGTAGGCTAAACATCAGAACATCTTTATAATGCAATACAGTTCAACCGCATCATAAACTACAGCCTCCAAAATAACCATAAAGTTGAATCAGCATCTCTCTTTACTTAATAAACTGCCTACTGAGTGTGTATGGATAACGGTTTCTCTAATGTGTTGACATGAGGCAAAACAGAGTGGTATCACTGTCAACTGATAAGAATCAAAAGAAAGTGTGAAGTTGCCACATATCGCCACAAGGGGTCATTTGAACATCAGAAATAAAACAACAACCAAGACAAAAAACACATATTCCAAATGACAGATATATAGCTCCGTCACTGACAAGAAAATGACCACATGGGCCAACTTCATGTCAATGGGTTTATAAAAGTTAAAGGTTAAGAGAGGATGATTCCTCCTAAAAGGGCTTTCCCACGATCCTGACAGGAAGCTGTAGGGTCGGACGAAAGACAGAAAGTGCAGCGCGAGCCAGCTGAGCTGACAGACATGATCAGTGCATGAGATCTGAGGAGGGAATATAACGGAGAAGTGACAGAGGCCAGGTGTGCAGGGAGGCGTAATGGATAGTGACAGACAGAAACTGAAGGGCGCTACACGGAGGCAGAGCAAACAGAGCCCACTCAGAGCCGCGCACTCGAAAACAAATCATGTGCACACAATGTCTCTCCTGAGTTCAACTTATAGACGGCAGCTGAGCGGTGAATCAAATTCCTATTGATACAACACAATGAGAGAAGATATAATATCTGTGTTGCAAAGGCTGCTGTGTTTATCTGAATAGATTTTTATATCATTTCGTTGCAAAAACTGAAAGAGCAAGAATTAGTGACTACCTGACACAACTCTCCAGAGCCGAGAATCACAGAAGCATACGACATAAAGAAAGAGAGCGACCGATGAGAGTCTAACAGAAAAATGTAATCCTTAAGTCTATCATTATAAGAAGTGTTTCAAACCGCAAAACTATGCAAACATGAATTTGTTCACTTAAGTAATATAGCGTCTGAACGACTGCTTAGGCCACACAAGGCAGCAGAGGTCTTCACACATCCAAAAAGTTGCACCCGACCTGAAAAAGAGCCCCGACTTTCCTCCTCCCTAAAACACATTTTCAAAAAACAAAAAAACGCAGAAATGAAAGTCCGAACACACTTCATAAAAAAAGGAATCAGATCTCTTGAGGTCATCTGTGCTTCCTTAAAGAAAAAGGGATCAATGCATATCTCTGGGCTGGATAAATTGCACGAGAATAAAATGCTGCATGTCATCAGTGTGGTGTAGCTCCCCCTCTGGCTTGGTGTTTACCGGCAAGCTCTTTGTTTTTGTTTGCACACATCACACACTACATTCTTTCATTCGTTCCGGACTTTCCTGACTAACATAAATATTCCTATTTTACCTTAAGTTGACAACACGTCACATTTGTTTAAACTTCGTGACAATCAAGTCGCTTGTTATTTCAAGCCCATTCCCATCCACTTAAATCTGGCATTCAGACAAACACCTGACAGGAGATGCAGGAGGTGTGCTACTTACTGCGCCCTTGTCCAAGAAGGTGTTGTAGAACTCCACAAATTGCTTCTTGGTCTCTTTGGCACTGAGGTTCTTGAAGAGGTCAGCATGGAGGTAAGACAGCTGAGAGGGGAGAGACGGACAGAAGATCAATGAGTGCTCACCAACTTTTAACAGCCTTTAACTTCCTGTATGCTGTTTTAATGCACTCAAAAGGTTTCTCCTCTTAAATGCACAATTAACTGACTCCTATGATATACTGGCAAACCACATCATCTAAATACTCATTTCACTTCACCAAACACAAAGACTAATTGGGTATTTTTATCACAATGTCACTGTCAGCCATAATCATGCACCAACCTCAATCTCAATAAACACTATAATAACTGTCCTCTATAAACCCTTCTGATGTTCTGACACACTTCTATTTTCTGCAGTACATAAACCTCCATGAGGGAAAGAGGGTAACAAAGGATGAGGGAGGGTGTCATGACTGTGGGAGGTGTAACAGCACCTATTCTGTACTATAAAATAGGGAAAACGCCTAAAAATGATCTTTAACGAAAGAAAGAATAACTTCCATGTGGATCTGTGACCCGTTTCAAATATGGATTACCCATCAGGCTGGAGAGATCAGACGATATACTGACTTTATTTAATGTATCAGAAACCTTTCTGTCCACATATATCAATAATATGGCTGCAACCACTGAGTAGTTTTTTTGTCAATTGATGTTTTTTCCCAGAAATTGATTATGTAAAAAGTCAAAAACAATAAAAAAAAATCTTCTACAACCTGAATTTGACTTATTTGATGATTTTGATAGACCGTGTGTTGCATTATGGGAGTTGTAGTTCTCACCAGCGGAGCCGGGTCAAACTGTAGAAGGACATGTTGTATGAAGACCAGCAGGTGGGTCGGCCGAGTCTTCAACAGGTCTATATTGTTGAAGTGTGTGCACTGGTCATCCACCACCTGAGAGAGAGAGAACGAGTGAAATATAAAAGACACATGAGGACAACGGAGTACGATAAAATATACACTCAGCTGTCTCACTCCACTTTTTCATTGACTCACATCATTCAGATCATTCTCGAAGTCCTCATCCTCAGCCCCGATGATGCTCATGGCTGGGTTAGAGCACTGAGCCCCAAACACACCCTGCTATTCAGAGAGAGAGAGGGAGAGAGAGAGGGGAAGACAAGAAAAACAATTAGCAAACATAATGTGCTGTACTTTGAACCGGTAGGCTTCCTCTTTGACGTCCTGAGCCCCCGCTGAGCAGAGC